GGCTGTCACCACCACCGACCTGTGTGAGTTGCTCTTAATACGGACAGATCAGTTATTCCTTAGACGGGACGAGCATCTGCAAGAGGATTGTTCCATCCCACGATGCTGGTGGTTGTTACTTGGCAGCTTATAGCATGGAACTTTGAAATATGCTCGATCACCAACGCTAAATTGAGAGCTGCTATAACATGGTTACAGTGCTTGGGAGAAAGGGTATAGGATGATACGAGTGCAACTGAATTTGCAAGCTGCAATTCAGCTTCTAGTGGGGCTAGTGAGATCACACACTAGCACTCTTCTGAGATTGCTGGTTTCCGAGAGCTGTTTGATCAAGATTAATTAGATGGTTAAGGTTGAGCACATTTATCGAGAAGGCAATCGGACTGCTCACTATTTAGTTGGTCTTAGTCATATTATATTTTATCACTTAGTGTACATTATTATATTTCTACTAGCTAGTGGTCCTACTTTATTGTTTCATTTAATGTATGAAATTCTTGCGATTTCCCGATCTCGTTTGATTATAAGCGAGAAATATGTGTTCTTGTGTCAGAGCTTACCAAAAAAACATTAATCGAATCCATCAGTTTTTATGTGAGGAAAGGTCTAAACGTTTTTTCATAAACGTTTTTATGTGAGTAAATCCTATTGATTATACGTCATTAAATAAAATGATCCGATTGCACTTCATAATATTATTGAGTCAACGGAGGCTCTTTTTTATGAGAGTTTTGTTAAGGCAAAGACTTCTGAAATGAAATAGAATAAATAGGGTAGAAAAGACAAATTTTAATAATATGGCCCCGATTTTCAATTACACTTGAATAATTGAATTAGGAGTCAAGAAAGGCGGTTAGTTGTGACTCAAATAGAGTATTATTATAGTGTAGTGAAGAACAGTAGGTAGTAATTACCTCTTATACATCTTGACTAACATACAAAGGTAACTAAATTACTATAATAATGTCAATCTATATCATAGTGAATTGATATTAAATTCATTGGTAACTAAGTTTAGTCTAATTTTTGTTCAAGAATTCAATTTCACTAATGTTTTAGAAAAACCCCTCTTAAAAGTAACACAACGCTCCAAGACAATTGTTTACCCTAAAATTTCAATTAAAATTTCAAGTTATTAAAGGGCGTAAATCATCAAAAAAATAATCTTCAAATTACTTTCAGACCCTTTATGAAGTTGATGATTTTATTTACATTACACATTCCTAAACTCTTGGCTCAGTTCCTGAAATTTTCACTTGTATTCGATCATGACACATCTATGCTTTGTTGACCTTTTATATTATCCTTTCTCCATTGGAATTGATTGCACAAGACACTACCTTATTACTTGATTTTCTTTATTCCTCTCGTGTTTTACCTACCACACTTGCACATACATATCTTACATCCATATCACCATATGTATCAAACTATCAAAGATTTGTCAATTATTATCTTTTCTAGTGATATTAAATTTCTTTAATTTGTCAGTTTTGTTAATATAATTATTACGTAGTACATTTTTTTGAAGTTTGAATACATGATAAATACTCCCTCAAATAAAATTAAAATAACACAAATTAGTAAAAAGGTGACAAAATTACTGAGTATGTATACCATCACAGATTCTGGTGTAAAGTTACGACAGAGTATTATAATTACTAGAGCATAAAAAATACTATCGTATCATTTTTGTCCACCGCTTTCATTTTAATTATATATTCACCATTAATTGTTTCATATTTGATTGAAATAAATTTTCTTCTTCGATCTGAATCCATCTACATGCACTAGATATATAATTTTTATTTGCTTGACTTTCATGCTAATCGAAGATTCTAAACCATTACAAGTCATGTTAGTATTTTCTTTTTTCCCCTGGATTTTGGGTATGTTTGGCACAACTAGCTAAAAAGATACTTTTACGAGTTTTTTAGTAACTGCTGGCTTTTAGTGACTGAAAAGATCTTAAAAAGAAAAGGTGATAACTGCTTGGTAAAAAGCTAACTGTTTGATTTAGTTCAGTTTGGTATACAAGCTGTTAGGAAAAATTAATATCAAAAGTCACGAGCTTTTCTCAGATACTACACCCGGTAGCATCTCAAAAAAAATCTTTTATTTTTGAAAAAATCTTACAAAATATATGTCAAACATACAATTAGAGTCTTTTAAAGTCTTTTTAAAGAATAGAGAAGCTAGAAGCTAGACCCTTTTGTGTGTCAAACATAGCCAATATATATATGCGTTGATGCCATAAAATTCAAAGTAGGACAAATAATGTTGAAGTGTAGAGTAATCCCAAGCCATATGCTGAATGGCTGATTATGACGGTGGAAATTTAAATGATGAGATACGTTCTCTACTTCTCTATTGTCATGCGGTTGTGTCTTCGCCCAATTTTTGCAAAAACTAAAAAAGAGTGAGTTTTAGCATTTGATTTTGAAATATTTGGAGTGTGTATTTTTAAGGGGTAGATTGGTAGCTTCTACTTAAATTACAACTTAAAACTTTAAGAATGTAAATAAATAAAATGATTTAAATTGCATTTCACGTTTCTATTGTATAAAAAGTATATACTATCATATATTTTTTAGCTAAACACTATTGTTGAGGTGTATTCATCCATGTCCAAGGGGCCAACACTTTCCCTTGAACTTTCGTTGGATACTTTGGTGAGTGGATATATTTTAGTGGATTAAGTGGTCTCTTTTATGACACAAGTATTAGCAAGAAAAGGAGAAAGGTAAGTGGGCCAGGTTCTATTGATTACTTAGAACGATTACAGCGCACCCTATCAAGCTGAACGATGAACGTCTATTCTAGAAATAGAGAAGGCTATAGCTAGAGAATACAAGTTGTCAAACGCTAACAATGAAATAAATGATATTATTAGTACTACCATGAGGTAGGTGGTAATGATCATGTGAATGATGTTGAGTGATTAATCCTTAACCATAACATCTTGCATATCTAGTGCATTAAATATGTTTCTTGTCAAAATCCTTATTTTCCCACCAACCAAAATCGTGCCTACTGGTTAAGAGCTCCATTGTTGTCAATGTAAAACATCCAAGGATATGGTGTCGCGCGGCGCCGGCCACCTGGATTGGGCCGAGCGACTTTGGGGTCTTTGGAGCTTTCTGGTTTCATTTCTCTATGGGGTTATTGGATCGGTTCCGGATTCAGCCAATTACCCCCAACAACTATCAAACAATAATTGATTAAGTGGACTTTTATATGGACACTAAACACACTACAAACTTTTATTAAATAATTTCCTTAAAATTACTTTAAAATTCACTTTGAAATTTGCATGAGCAGCCAAATAAATTATAGACTTGTCCCTTGGCATAGTCAATGGTCAATAGACAATAGGCCACCAAGATTACCTTTAGTACCGATTATATGAATATATAATTATATATGATCTAGATAAACGCTCCCATATTCATGGGTAGGGATGGACTCGGGTTTGTGCAGTCATTTTCGGGTCAAAACTGCCAGATCCAAAAAAAAATTGGTCAACACGGGATTAACCAGATACTTTTCGGGTCTTGACCGATTCCAGATATCTGGACAGTCCAGATTTGGAACCAAACTCGGACCGTTTTATTTTTTGAGTTTTATCTCGGATTCAAGCTTAAAAAAATTGGTCAAGCCAAAATCAGAATCGCCCGGTTCAATCAACAAATAGGTGAATCAAGATCGTGAACCGCTCTTGAGCGGACATGGCCGATCACAAGCCCGAAATCAGAATTCTGGTTCCAGTCCGATCATAAACCGTGGCAAACCCAATTCTGAACGGGGCCGGACCAGATCCCCTAATTCAAGGATGACAATTTAATATTAACAGAAAGATTCTGTTATTTTAAGATTTTATTTAAATAATCTTTCTGAGAAAACCTAAATCGTTATTTTATTCCTTTCCCGATTTATTCAAGGACCCAAGAATCCAAGATCCTTCGTTTAGAATTCCCCAGCCAAGAGGGCATTCAATTTATATATGGGATATTTTGACATACAGTTACAAACTAATTAGAGATCGTTTGGTAACACTGTTTTTCATCTTATCAGGCTTATCAGCAAACTTTTTCACCGAACACATAACTTTTATTTTTGCGCACGGAATAGTATAATAATACTCCCTCCATATTTTAAAGTTCCATAGACTTTCCATTTTGGGATGTATTTAAAAGTTCCATACACTTTCATTTTTTGGTAACTTTTTCCTTTAAAAATACTCAATTACCCTTACTTTTTCTACTTTTAATCCTCTCTTTTCTACTTTTCACCTTTTCTCCTACCTTTTCTACACTATTCATTACCCCTACTATTATCCCTTAAATCTTGTGCCAAAACCAGATAACCTAACACATGGATCTTTTAAATACAGAGGGAGAAAGAAAAGTATGATTAAAATTAGGGGTGTTCGTCGGTTCGGTTTTGGCAGTTTCGGTTTTATCGGTTCGGTTTTAGTCGATTTCGATTTTTAGTCGGTCGGTTTTGATCGGTTTCGGTTTTAGTCGGGCGGTTTTAGCGGCTTTAAAAATAGATGAAACCGAGAATCAGACCACAAAAATTGAGACAATTTTGGTCAATTTTAGCCATTTTTGCCGGTTTATTTTCATTTGACCGGTTTTTTAAGCAAAAAGTACGAACCGTAAACCGAATAACCGATGAATTAATCAATTTCGGTCGGTTTCGGTTTTATCGGTTCAGTTTTGGTCGGTTTCGGTTTTGGTCGGTTTCAGTTTTGGTCGGTTTGGCGGTCAGTTTCGGTTTTTTGGTTTTTTTGTTCACCCCTAATTAAAATTACTTTTCTAACTATTGATTGAAGTTAGTGTAGATGATAATTTTAACTATTTTCAATCATGAATAATCGCTTATTCACCTGTTCGCATGGTTGATAATTAATTTTATGCAAAGATCATACTCCGAATTCTGGTTGGAGAGGCATTAAATTATTAGGGTATGGGTCAATTTTCTCTTTGGCAGACGATAAAATCGTTTGCGAAGCTAAGAAACGTGAAACAGAAATGTCAGAACATGAAACACCTCATTTTTATCAAAAACTTCCTAATTGTTTCTGAATAAGATTGCTAAGTTACACAGGCAAAACATTGTCATCAATTATAAAAATATCAGAAATAGCATACACTAAAACAATACACATCCTTGGAACGTTTTTTTGTTATATTTCCCATCAAATGCTTCGAACCAACAAACTTCACCTCATATGGATGTCAGGCATACTAAAAATTCCATAAAGCCCTCCCCACTCATGAACAGAAGCTCTTCCAACTTTGTTATCTTTAACTAATGCAAGTTCCTGTAGACGAATCAGCAAGTACACTTGTCATTGATGACCTGTTACACGTTTCATGGTAAAGAAGTTATTATATGATTTTGATGATCCTTTGTCTGCATGGAAACCTGAACCTGTTTCCTGCAAAACTCGTAACAATTGTAAGACAAGTTCCAAATTTGTTGATATATATTCAAATACAAGACAAGTACAAAAGTCTACTAGCCTGGATGGTGTTGCATTTGAGGTCGCAAGAAAGAAACCAGAATGTTCAAAAGCTTAAAAGGGACAAAACATGTTGTAGTCTCATTAATAGAATAATAGGTTAGCCAGTGCAAGCACATAGAGAGGTCTACATAGTCTAACAAGCACATAGAGTTCTTCTAACAACTGATAGACGTATTTTTGACTTATAAGCAACAATGAGCTTGAATTAGTCTTCTATGAAGCAGCTCAGTCTCAAGGAAGATGAAGGGTTAGTCAATACTTAAATGTAGCATGTAGACTTGCAGCACTCTTTGCTTTACTAACTTTACAAAAAGTAAAAGTGTGACAGACTCTCTCAGTGCATGAAAGGAAAAACTTCAAAAACTTCAAAATTGTTTTTACAACTAAAAAAGATTAACAGAAAAATATAACCATTTAGAGCACACTACGAAAAGGTCAGCTGTTGAATATTTGTTTACATTCCCTTTAACACGGTACTGAAAACTTGCAGAGGAAAATAGGTAACAAGCTAACTACTATGAAATAGGACATGATAGGCTAACCTGATAATAGAACAGGTGTGCCAATGCAGCAAGAACAATGTTTTAAATTTGCGTATTGCAAGGATAAAGCCTCAAAATTCAATAGAAATTTATACTCCGTATGAAGTAGATAGAAAGCAATACTAAAAATTACTAAAAAAATTGAATTATTTACTAAAAAGAATTAGAAGTATTTATATAGGAAGACTGTATAAAGAACTCATTAAAACTAAACAGGTACATCAAAAAGGAGTTTAAATGGGAAGAGGAATGTAAAAAGGAAATTATTCGTCAAAAATTCATCAAGTGAAAGCACAAATATAAGAAAAGTGAAATTTTAAAATAAAATGTGCACCGCATCGTTATACTTCTCTCCCGAAATGCACTGAGACCCACCTAATTGAGTCATTGCTATTTCTTTAGTACACAATTTCAAACATTGGGAAGAACAGAATCAATTCTTAGGGAAATGATACAAACCAGTTCAGTCAATGGACATCAGTAAGCATATCCACTCTGTGGTGAACGATGCTGGCCACCAAGGTACTGGTCATCTCCATTCTGTGCATAACCATGCTCATTGTTTCCTCTTTTATGATCATCATGAACTTCTCCTCCATTAGAAAGTTTAGCCTGTTCCTTTTCCCTATTCCACTGCTCAATCCTAGCACGTCTCTCTTCACTTCCATCCCTAGAAGGACTTCTTCTACCTCGCCTGCCTTCACCTGGGCTCCTGCTTCGCCCCTTACGATGATGACCACCTGGACTTGTCGTTCTGCGTCTCCGACTCCTACTCTCATGATAGTAATCATCTCTATCATTTTCATAATCATCATCATCATCATACCTCCTTCTACTACTGTGGCTCCTGTGAGATCTCTCTTCATAGCTTCTATGCCTATAAGGACTTCTGCTTCTGCTATGCCTTCTATGGGACCTCCCAAACAACTGCCGTCTCAGTTCCCTGTCAGTGTCATCATTCATCATTAGTCTTAAATAATATGAAACAGGTAAGGGCAAGGTAGTCAAAGTCGAAAGGCGCACTTGAAGCGCTAGGGGCCTTCCAGCGCCTGAGGCGCAAGGCGCAAAAAAGCGCTCGCCTGACTCGGGTGAAGCGCATTACCTAGATAAAATCACATATACAATTCTATAATTACCAAATATGATGTATGTAACATCATATTGAACCAAATGCATAAAAAAAGCCAGGATTCGCCAAAATAAAGTAATGATTCAAAAAAACATAACTTCAAATTCAGAAGTCATGGCTTTAATACGTCATTTTTTTGTAGAGTTTTCACTTTCAGCACCACCTGCAGCACATGTTCCCAATGTTCAAAATTGGGCATTGCGGAGTTGAGGCGTGTTTTCCCCTAGCTGTATTGCGTAAGTCTCATTGCACACTAAGACGTAAGGTTAAGGCGTAAATCTTAATGCATAGGAAAAGAATTATATAAAATTTATAACTAACAAGAAATAAAAGTTCAATCAAAATAACACATTTAGTTACTAATCTAACAATAATGTCATAACATAATGGAAATAAAATGACATCACACAAATTGTTTATTCTAAAATTCCAAGTTTTTTGATTGATGAATGCAAGAGAGAATTGCTAATAGTAATATTTAAACATTATTTGATATATTAATATAATCCAAAGTAAAGTATATACTCCGTATATGATTATATTTGAAACAAAAAAATCAATTTATATGAAAAGTAAAACTCCACTAAATATATATAATTAAAAAATGGAATCTAGCTGGAATCCACTCAAAGTAATACATACGAATACTTAAAATAATCTAATAATCCTCTCAAGAGACACCAAAAATATACGGAGTATTGTATAATCTAGAAGGATACTTTGGAACCCACCCAAAGTATTATACTTTGTACTACGTATATAATCTGGTCTCCCAAAAGTATTAAGCTTGCCGACGCACGCCAAGGGACAGGCGGAAGTAAATAAGAAGACTCTGAGCGATGAGGGATAGACGGACAGGGCACAAAGCTTATATTAGACTAATAATAGAAGTACTAATAAGAATATTAGTAATAAGGGCACTTGATGTATTGTAGTATAAATAGATGGGAAGGGGGAGTAGTAAGGGAGGCTTTTGGGGACTGTTTGTCTTAGGACTTGGGAAGACTGAGACTAATAATCTCTTTCTTTGGGAGCTTCGGCTTTTGGGGGCTACGGCCATTGTTTCTTGTTACGTTCTTGATTCAATAAAGCTTTGAATTGTTCTTGATAAATTTCTGTGATTTCTGTTGTATTTCTGGAGGATCCTATCATTGGTATCAGAGCGCGTCGTTCGCTGGATGAGTTACATGCTCGCAAGGATGGAAAGACGAATCAACGAAGTTGAGGGAAATTTGGTAGAATTTGGAAGGAATATGGATAGAAATCTGCGGAAGTTCCATACTAATATGGAGGCGAATCTGGCTGCGATGGAAGCCGCGATACAAGCTAGCATCGCAGATGTGCAGAACAGACTTCAAAGTCGTTCTAAGAATCGATCGCATACGTCGCACATTTCGCACCCTTCACATCGTTTTTCGCATAACTCTTTCCATCGCTCTTCGCATAGTTCTTCTCGTCATACTTCGCATTATCATTCACGAAGGTCATCTAATCCAGAGGAATCGGAAGAGAATTTGGACTATTCTACTATGCATCGCGACTCTCATCATCACTCGCGAAAGACAGATCGATCGAGAAGTAGATCACACACCTCAGCTGCATCACCTCGCTCATCTGCATCGCATCGCTCTTCTCACCATCATCAATTGCAACACTCAGCGAGTTCAGAGGAATTGGAAGATCAGAGGCATCGCAGAAGAACTGAAGAACGATCGAGGAAGAATAGGTCTCTTCCGCTAACTGACAAACAAGGTTTGTCGCATCACTCTTCTCATCGCTCTTCGCATCATCATTCGCGGAATTTGTCACCGGCTATCAGTTCGGTTCCAAGAAAGACGCGAGTGAGAGGAGAATATTCCTCCTCGCCAATCCATTCTCACTGTTCGCGTTCTTCATATCAAGTCGCTCCTCCAAGTTCACAAGCAATTTCTTCAGGACCTCTGGTTTCTAGAAAAACAGAAGACCCCATTTCGCAATATCTATCTGAGTCCCCTGAATTGCATCAGGAGTTGACTAATCAGCAGAATGGTGACAAGGAACACAAGAAGAAATCATCAGATAACTTTGAACATGAAGCTGGTGCCGTTGCTGAACTCACCAGGGGTAAGATTTTTTCCATGTACGATCTGGACCAGCCAAACCTTGAAACGAATAGGTTCAAGTTTCTTCAGATAGGTAATGTTCCTTCTCACCTTGTACAGCTGGTGAACTGGCCAAATGTCTTCAACACTGAAACAATGGGTTGTCAGTCATCAAACATTACCTTAGAAGGAATGAACACGTCTGATAGTCTTAGAGTGGAAAGGGTTACTTCTAGGAAGAATTTTCAAAAAGAATTGGTGAATGATGTGTCTATGGACAAGTATGTTGCTGATTCTGACAGCCAGGATCAAGTTATTGCGGATAAAAAGGGGGTAAAAGTCCAGAGTATCTTAGCTGGGCAGTTGGGAAAGAATGATCCACAGATTTGTGCATTTGAAGGATCGGCCTTCATTCACTCAAATGTCAAATCTGGGATGGGAGTTAAGGACTGCAGTTTGACACTTTATGCAAATTGGGATTCCTGTAATTATAGATTGCAAGGGGCTGATGAATTTACTTTTGAATATCAGTTGGATAAAATCAGTGTGGTTCTGGATCTTAATACTCAGACTATGGTCATGGGATTGGAAGCTGAAGCAAATTTTCAACCTTACAATATGATCTTAGGCTCCAATGAACCAGAACTGAACTGTTCCACTTGTGCTCTTGTAAGGGAAACCAAGCTAAATGTAGATGCTGGAAATATAGAAGTGGAACCCTACTTGATGGGAAAAATAGTTATAGCTATACCTCAGTATCAATGTACTGGTTATCAATGTGCAGTTCCTTCCTTGCTTGTCAATACACCAGTATACATCCGGCAGTACATGGCATCAGGATCCAGAGTGGTGGTGGGGTTTGTAAGCTGCCAGACATCTTTGGGAAGGTTCATGGTCCCACAATCAGTTCGATATTGGGAAGGGAGAGGAACAAGGAAGAGGAAGGGGAAGCAAAAGATTTTGGCTTTCTCCTATTACCCACCTTGAGGACAAGGTGGATGTTTAGGGAGGGAGTATTGATAGGAACCCACTTATATTAGACTAATAATAGAAGTACTAATAAGAATATTAGTAATAAGGGCACTTGATGTATTGTAGTATAAATAGATGGGAAGGGGGAGTAGTAAGGGAGGCTTTTGGGGACTGTTTGTCTTAGGACTTGGGAAGACTGAGACTAATAATCTCTTTCTTTGGGAGCTTCGGCTTTTGGGGGCTACGGCCATTGTTTCTTGTTACGTTCTTGATTCAATAAAGCTTTGAATTGTTCTTGATAAATTTCTGTGATTTCTGTTGTATTTCTGGAGGATCCTATCAAAAAGAGCTAGTTAAAAAAAATTATACCCCGCAGAGAGGGAGAGGTGGACTGTCGCATGCTAATCAGAAGAACAAATAAGTATTTTGCTGAGTATTAAATTAATTAATTGGGTAATCTGCAAAGTTATTATTGCGTAAGCTTTTTTGCGTTTCTTATGGGCTAATTGTATTTGAAAATTTTAAACAAAAAAAGACTATCAGCCTTTTCCGGCTCAGGCGACCCAAGTGTGCGCTTATAGCGCTTCAGCGCTTCTTGTGCTTCTTGCGCCTATACTGCGCCTTACCCAGGAACCTGCGCTTCACATATTTCCAGGCGCTGGGGGGTTTGCTCGCTGCGCCTTGTGCGCTTAAGCGCTGGGGCGAGCGCTTTTGACAACCTTGGGTAAGGGGAGAATTTAGTACTCCCTGCCAATCCTTGGTTTTGGTCAAATGAACTACTGTGTTGCAAAAGGGGGAATAAGGATCCATAGAACTTTCCCCCCGAAAAAAGAATTTAGTTTGATCAAATGAAACTAAACTAAACTAACTCCTTTGTATGTAATTTACCAAACAGTTAACATCAGAAAGCAACACACCAAATGATAAATTTCAGTTAAACCAACATATCAATAAAAAATAAAAGTATGTTCCATCATTTATGAGATTCATATTTCATATTTCACCAAAATTAAGAAATTGAGGATGGGCAAAACATGTTGTGTGAAGGAGGTAGTATTAGGAGCAAATATGCAAGGCATTCTCACTACCTGCCAATCATCTTAAGATGCATAAAATTGCAGTAACCACCACGGTTGCAAGAGTTCTCCTCATACTGTCGGCATGTTGCTTCACGAAAATCAGTGACGGGTGAGAAATCCACAATGATAGGCCTTCCTGCATTATAATTATAGCATGATCGATAAAAGCAGTAAGAGCGGACTACTTTCCAAACAAGCTCCATATGCTTTAGCTTATGCATATAGCTTCAACTTTTAGATGCATGAATAATTATTTACACTTACCAGCATAGAACCTCCCGGAGAGATTTTTCAAGGCATTTGCAGCCTGCTCCTCTTCCCTAAACTGAACATACACATTGCCCACCTGCCACAACAAATGGCATATACAAATACCTTTAACATAATTAATTGATTGCGCAATACACATTCAAATAGATTGAAAAAATCACAAAGATTGGCTATTAGGATGGTGATTACCATGTGATCAGCCAGATTATCACAGACATTCAAACTCTCTATCTCACCATACTTGTTCAATTCTTCAAATAGATCTTCGTAAAATTCCTGCAGATATATTTAATATGTAGATCATGTTAAATCATGCTCAGGAAATCAAACTGTTAGTCCTTGAGACAAATCTGTGCATCACATGACAATCCTGCTTCCAAAAATCTTCGCGCAGTGATTCGATAACAATTAAGATGACAGAATATGAAACAATTCGATCTATAAACGGAGTTGCCTGATACCTCGAAGTGGTCCTGCATCTTACGCGGATCGATGGGGTGACCTTGCGCGTCGACGCCGGGGGTGATCATGTCGGGGCGCTGGTACATGTTGGAGAGGAGGAGGGTGGGGCTGATGCTCGGCTTGGTGTGAAGCCTGGAGCAGCGGTCGCCGTGACGGCAAGCGCCGATCTTAAAGTAGAACGGGCAGTTTACCCTATCCTTCTCCGTTCCGAAGATTGAAGCCAGATGCTCCGCCATTGTTACCGAAAGATGAGAGCTCGCCTTCTTCCTCTATACTTCTGATTTCGCCTGCTCCCGCTCTGTCTTCTTTCTCTCTCTAGTCTAATCAGTTCAGTTTGTGACGTTTTGGGAAGTTTCTGGATACTCTATCTGTACAATGCCATTGTGCGAAGCTTCTGGATAAATGGATAACCCTAATTGTGGTTTCTAATAGACTTCTGGTATGTGACTCAGACTTTTGTAGCCAGGAGCGGTGGTTTGCCCGAGAGGTTAAGGGGGAAGACTTAAGATCTTCTGCACATAAGTGCGCGTGGGTTCGAACCCCACAGCCACCATTTTATTACGGAGTGTTTTTTGCAAAATGGTTTGAGTCAGGTCCGGTTCAAACCCCACAACCACCATGGAAGCAGGAGAAAAAAATCTAGGTCTGGTTTGAGTCCCGGTTCAAGTCACAAAATGGGCTGATTCTTAAATTTAAAACTATTTTTTTTGACTAGCCTAAATTTAATGGAAAATAGAAACTAATAATCCAACCTTTTAGCGGTCTTCTTACAATAGTCCCACCTTTTGATTATCATGAATAATCCAACTTTTGCACCTCATCTTCATTCACTGGTCCTTGACCGGTTCATGACCTGCTGTTCCAAGTTATTTTCTTATCTTTGCAAAATATTATCTTTGTGAAAGATGAGATTTATGGTATAATGGTTTGCAAAAATAAGAAAATAATTTGGAATAACAGGTCATGAACCGGTTAGGGACCAGTGAATGAAGATGAGGTGCAAAGGTTGGATTATTCATGTATAATCTAAAGGTGGAACTATTGTAAGAAGATCGCTAAAATGTTGGATTATTAGTTTCTATTTTCTCCAAAAATAATTCTTATTTTGCAAATTTTACAATAATAATATATACTGAAAGCGACCATAAATATAATTCGTACTAGAAATAGGGTCCACAAGAAGAAATTGGAAGAATTCAAATTAATATTCATTTAATACTCTCAATCTCTACCCGACTTTCCAATTCATCACTCTTCGTCTAGGTTAACACTGTTGGCAAAATGTGTTAAAAATTGCATTAAATGGTCAATTTGGGGCAGTATTTTGAGTGGGGTCCACTTCCGATTTGGGTCAGGTCCTCGGATTGTCCTTGTTAAGGGCTACAATTCAATATGTACACTCAAAACGGATAACAGGTGAATGAGAAAATGAATCTCAAAGTTTACTTGTTGAAATGGGAAAACTGTGATTCTGTGAAAATGATGGGTTTCTTTGCGCGCAGGGGGATGCGCGAAAGGGAAGCCTCTTTGAAGGAGTTAATATTCTAAGGTGGAAAGGCTCTCTTTGCGCGTAGGGGGGTGACGATCATATCCTGAAAACGGTGGAGAAAAACCACGACTTGCGTGCGCGGGCGACCTGCAGACACGAATGTCGTCCAAAAATCTATCTTTCAAAGATACGATTTATTTTTTGCTTCTTCCCGTAACTGTCTCAGTTCTCCAGAATTGCAACGGAACTCTTCTGTTCTGTGCGCACCAGAAGACGTGTTGTTCTGGTCGCATCAGAACCAGAAGACGTGTTTGATAGAGTATATGGGCCTGGACCCCATGGCCCACCTACTCAACGGCCCAAAAGACACCAGCAGGACACCCGCATCGGCCAGAAGCCCGCGACGTCCAAAGGAGAAGATATCACCCAGGTCCCTAAGGCCACAGCCCATGGACCGCATCGTCCATGGACTGCATCGTCCGCACTTAGTCCAGGCAGAATGTTTTTTCATAGTTTATTTACCAAGTGTTGTATTCAGCCCATTAGTGGCCTTATTCGCCCAAAGAATGCATGATTATTGTAATGGGCCTCCTAAGCCCAAGGCTAAGAGCCCAAATCCACATTTTTACCTATAAATAGACCCCAAGGGGCTAATTATAGGGGGTTGAGAAATATAATTACTCACTTTCTCTCTCTAGCTCTCACTTCTCTCTCGAATTAATACTCTATCAGTGTTGTTCTGGTCGCGCGCCAGAACGGTTCTGAACCGTTACAACAATTAATGCTCAATGTTTTTCTCCTTTAATGCACTCTTTAAATGGACAATTTTTCGACATATTGATGGCCAACGTGCTGCTCATTTATGTCCAACGTTCTGGTCCATTAAAACTCAGTTAACACTCCACAAATCCATCACTATATATAGCTAGAAGGTGCTATGCAACAACACATGCTATCATACACAAACTGCACACTCTCTTCAGCTCAAAACTCCTCCATCTATCTCTGAAAATATTCCTTTGTGTTCTAGCTTGTTCATGTTCGCTGGAACAATTCGTGTGAGTGCTCAACGATTGTTCGTAGTCATCGTATCCTGGGAAATCGTTCCAACGCTCTTAGCACCTAGGGTGGCAATGAATACGTTTTAAGGACATCCCGTGCACAACACGAGCTTTGGCTAATTTCTGCTCCTTCTCTTTTCTTGTTTTTCTTTAGTCATTTTGATTAATTTTAATTAAATATTTTCTTTGTTTTTCGAGACACACCCAACAAACACTTTTATGTTCCACCCTAGAGACAATCACATATGGAGAAAATGATGTTGATATTAAACGAGTTTTAGGAGTGTTTGGAACTGATTCTGCTTCTTTTTTAAAGCAGAATCAATTTTCAGAAGCTGATCCTCCGCAATTTCTAAAAAAAACTGATTCTAGGAGTAAATTAGAGCATTAGAAGTACTTCTGCACTTTCACCCAAACACTCCAACTTCTACTTCTGCTCATTGAAAGAGCAAAAGCTATTTTAAGAATCAGATCCAAACACCCCTTAATTTGAATTGTCCCCGAAAAAAAGAGTGGGGAAAAGAAAAGTGAGAGCAAGGGTTGAGAGTATGAAGCGGTCATTAATTTGAATTCATGTCAAATTACTGTTATTGCTAGTTCAGATTATTTTTGTGGACACTCTGAGTAGGTATTATTATTGTAGAATCCTTAAAAGTAGAGATTATTCTTGTGAATTTCACTTTGAAACTAATGGCACCTGTCTAGTTTATACTCTCATAGCCTGAGTCTCAAATGATATACACGAATGATAGGTCTATAGAACTAGTAACTTGGGGATATGAAGTCGCCGCCTGAAATTTCGCCCACCGTTTTGAAACTTTTAGAAACTCTTCAAATATGTGTTTTGAGCAAAAAATGACTTTTCTCATTTCCTCATGATTTTCCCGTTTCCGTGCAACATAGACTATACCCCTAGAAGAGTCTCGTTGGGTACTCGTGTGTTGTATCACGCCACCGTCCCTATACGTGTGCATCAAAGCTTTGTTATTTTCTCGAATCAAGAAATATCAAGTAAAGTTCTTAGCATGAGCTATCTAATTAGTATTCTTTTCGTTTCATTTTACCTGTCTTACCAAAATAAGGTGTTACATTCCTTTTTCGAAAAGAAATAAGTTGTCAAGAACATTTTGCTTTATTTTACTCAAAACTCAATCATAACCACTTATTAATAATTTTGTCAAATCAAAAGATCAATCTAAAACCTCAATCTAGAGACGCATAAAATGAGACGAAGGTAGTAGTTTTTAATTACACTATAGTTTTTTTTTTTGGCAAAAAGTTACACTATAGTTATAAATCTAAAATAAATTTATTTATTTCCGATTCAATTCGTGCTCGAGATTCTCATGAATTGTGTCATATGATTTGCGGTAGTATATTCACAATTTGTGCAATATGATTTGCCTATTACATCTATAATTTATTGAGATTCTACCTGAGTTGCACATCTATATTACTTATGTTATCAAAATTTAAAATAACAAGATGCTTCCTATTAAACCTTATTTGGTGTGATGAAAGTTCGTACTTATTAAATGTCCACCTTAACTCCGTAGAACATTTAAGTGGAAATTACCCGTAAAATCCATTTTTATGTGCGGATATCATTTATCACCCAATTATTTTTTCTTTTCATTTTTAACTTTTCCGCTTTCATTTAGTTTTTCCTATTTCACTTTTGGACTAATTTTCTGGCGACCTCCTTTAGAAACGTACAATTGTGCAACCGGAGAGGCGCAAGGACAATTAGTAAAGTCATTGGAAGGTCTTGAGAGCTGAAGATGATTTCTGCATCTCTTTTCAGGGAAGTGGGTTCTGTGTCCAGCCAGGATTGGGATTCACCGATAGAGTTGTTGTTTTCGAATTCCTCGTCCCAACATCGTCTCACAGAGTCATAGCCAGATGATAAATCTGCTAGTTACCAAACTGGAAATACAGAGCGGAGGCGTCTATGTGTTTCAGATGTAGATTGGAGTGCATCTTCCACTAACGTCCAGGCAAAGGTGGTCGGGGACAGTTTTGCATCGTTGAGCAGAGCAGTCGTTAGCGATTACGAGGTCACCCATTAAAACTTCTTAGCGGGTTTCATGCCTGAAATTACTCCTTCACCTTTGTTTCGACAGCATTGGAGGCCACACCAACTGCGGCGGAGGGGACAATGGACAATAGAATTGAGCAGGTCACACCAGAAGACGTGTGTCACTCACAATTATTGTACATCAGGCGGAGCTATTCTCGGCCAGGTTGACATTTAAGTTTTTATTGAAAATTTTGAAGCAATTGCATTGATGCCTCAATCAGAATTTTAAACTCCATTGTTTACCATTTATGTCCTCAAATGTAAACAATAAACATATGTATTTCATGCTAGGTAATTGTAATTTAGATGCAAAGCTACATCACAGACAGAGCATACTGAAACTTTAAAGCTTGCCTTATTCTCAAGGTCCAAATCCGAATTGCAATTTATAGATGTACTATTGTACTAATAGCCTACTTCATTTCATGTAAGGAGATGTTTATTTTTGGGAGAAGGATAAAAAATGACACTAAGGTTTATAATGAATCTCGGATTGGACACTAGGATTTTTAGTGGACCAAATAAACACTAATTCTAACTTATGTGTTGATTATCGGCCACCCACTAATGCTCCCTTTAAACGGACGTCTTCTCCCTTCTATTAAAAACACACAACCCCAATTTCTAACCCTAAGTCATTCTTTCTCTTATTGGAGAAAGAAAGAAAAAAAATTACTCTCAATTTCACAAACAGCTATTGACGAGCAAAAGAAATTTGATACCCTCTCTTTTGTTTCGTCATCAGGAGTAAGCAGGTTATTCTTCTTCAATAGATTTGTACTGTGGCGCTGTTATTCTTCTTGATTGTGTTGTTCCAGATGTTGTTACCTAGTTAATTTGTGGATACATTAGAAAATTTGTCAAAGGGAGGTGATGTTGGGTCTGCGGATTTGGAGTTCTTGAAAGAGCTTGGTGGATTGAATTTTGGTGAAGATTTGAAGTTGGAGCCTTTCAAGATTTTAGCTAAGCTCAATATTGGGTATGGGAGAGCAATGGAACTGTACGTTGGTTGTCTTCATCCACGCCAGTGCAAGAGCATTCGTTGGCAATTTCCCAGATCTGTCTGCAGCAGTCGTTGCTTCGCTGTTTGGAGTTGCAGCCGTTGCTTCGCTATTTGAAGCTGCTTCTAGGTCCTTGCGTTCATGGAGTAGTCACCATGAACGCAGATATAGTATAAGGATAATTTAGAAAATTAAATCAATTTTATTTATTTATATTTTATTTAGTTGTTATAATGGTTTTTCATTATTCTGGCTGATCCATACGACCATACAAAGTAATGATGCATGTTGTGTTGGCTTTGAAGGAGTTGAGATTGGGTACGAAGTTCAGGCCACTCATACTTACGGTCCATGGAGAATGGCTTAGTTCTGCAAATTGAGATGTCTGTTTAAAGAAGGAGAAGACGTCTCCTTAACGTTCTCTTTAACAGGAGTGTTAGTGGGTGGCTAATAATCAACTAATAAGTTCGAATGAGTGTTAATTTGTTCTACTAAAAACCCCAATGTCCTATATGAGATTCATTAAAAACGTTAGTGTCATTTTCTATCCTTCTCCCTTTATTTTTTGTTGGGAAGGTTCCTGTCCTGGGAGAAAGCTAAAATCAAAGAGGAGATTTTGCGTTTTACTCATGCCAACATCAACAGTGAAATTATATTTCGAGTAAGGAGCGTCTTGATTTGTAAGCATTTCCTAAACCCTCCTGATAGCAATGGTTTTCAATATATATTAATGTAAATGCTAAGTATTTGGTTTTTTGCTCTTTTGCTAGAACAAACTGAATTTACTAATGTGGTAAAAAAAATGCAAAGCATTGAAGTGGCATGTGACATTTTTTATCATCTCTACTCAATGAGATGTAAAAGTTTTCAAACAATATTCTGACCATTGTTCAATCAGTCCAGGTAATGGATACCCGCCTATTATAGTTACATAGATAGCTTTTAGCATGATATCTATTTGCTTGCATCTGAGTCTAAATGTAGTCTAAATATTTCCAAGTGTAGTACTAGTTAGTTGTTTCCATTTTATTAGCTTTCTTGGTTAGGGTTAAAAGCATCTTACTGATTTTCCATGAGGGGAGTGTACAGTTTATCTCTTCCATCATTCTATTGCACAGCTCCCTCTAGTAATTTTATTAGTTTTAGTACTTCAAAGTAATGTCTTCATTTTTCAGACACTGAGGTCAAAGAGACGACAACCTCTAGCTGTGCATCTTGCATCTTTCGCACTGATCAAAAGGGTTCTTTTTAAAGTTACGACAATGCTAGTTTGGAGCACAAAATGGTTCAAGACCATTTGATCGAAAGGGTTCAAGACCATTTGATCTGTTTGAAGCACGAAATGGTTCAAGAGGTACCAGTGACTTGTATTTCAGCTCAACAAAGCTCAAATATGTTACATATGAATACAAACTTGATGTTGAAATGGTTCATTGCAAGGTCACGTAAGGAGGGAATCATGATGATATATAGTTATTTGTACTGCTTCTACTTTGAAGATAATCATTGCAGAATTATTCTTCAGATGTGAGGGGATACTATCTTTGTGAACAGGGAAATCAAGAGTTTGTGATACTTAGTTAATTGTATTGCATATTTCTGTATGTTTTCTACGTAGTATTATATTGTTGCACCATGTTTCTTTTTGTTGAACCATGTTTCTTTTTGTTTCTATTACATTGTTTCATCTTATTTCTTTTTGTTGAATTATGTTTTTTTGTTGCATCATTTTGATTATTGTTATTTATTGTTGATTATGACTTTTGTTGTGTATTTAGGTTTATGTTTAACTCTCCAGCATACTCATTTGGAATGAAAATCATATAGTTATATATATAAACAAACACTTAAACTGAAAATTTTAGATTTACCGCAAAAACAAGAAACATATAGTGAAACAATAAAAAACAAAAAGTTTAAAGTTATCAACAAAAAGAAACAAAAATAAATAATATCCAACAAAAGTAACAACAAATGATAATAATGGTAATTTTAGAGCTATTCAATTTTCAGAATTTTTTTTACTATTATTTCTTATAACTTTATATTTTTCTTATTTTATTCATTTAAAATTTTATGTACTCAATTGTGTTTTAATCATGTTTTCAGTTTTTAAAAAACTTTTTTCTTTTAACTTTGTAATTATTTTCACAATTTTTAAATTTTTCAAAAATAGTTTTATTTTATTTAAAAATTATTTTAAATAATTTTTAAGATGAATACAACTTTTTAAGTTTTTTTTAATTTTTAAAGGTAATTAATATTTATGCCAAATTTTGAAATTTTCTATTTTTACATTTGTTACATGTTTATTACTTTGTTTTTTTTGTTACTTTATGAATTTCCGTATTTTTATACTTTTCACTTTTAAATAATTAAAATAAATTACAAAAGCACATACTATATTTACTCCTTAAAAAATAGATTACATAATATCATTTCTTTTTACAATTTTCCCACATGTTAAACTATTTTAAACTTTTTCATTTTATTTTTTAAGATTTGTATTTGTAATCCTCTATACATTTTTTAAATTTTGTTATTTATTTCTAATATTTAAATTAAATCTAGTTTGAATGTTAAACTTCGAAATTTATGTTAAGCTTTTGTTCTTACTTTGATTATTTTTTTCTTTATATTTTTATTTCTTTTCTAATCATTTTGAACTTCTTATATATAATAAAATTTTACATTTTTCTAGTTACAAAAAAGAATTGAGTAATTAATGCTTACCAAAGATGTTAGAGAATAGGAGCCGTATGTACAATATCATAAGAGATGCTGGACACGTTGTACGAACTGTACGAAGTATATTAGTGCGGGAGGAGCACTAGTCGTGCAAGAGCAATGCCGTACATGGTCTATTTGTGAAAAAAGGAATTTAGTTAGACTATATTTGAAAATACTTTCAAAAGGTGAAAAAATTGATATTATTTTCACTTTTATGCATGCTTGTGAAAATTTCCCATAAAAAATACTATGTATACATTATCTGTCACTACGTTCCCGGCCCGTGCCCACCCCTACCAACAACAAGCATACAAAGATACTGTTGCACACTGTGCCACCAAAATTATCTTTTACTTTTCCTTACATTTTACATTCTACATAGTTTGTGATGAATAGTCTTTTAATCTTTTCATTTTTCAACCCTTTTTTCTCTAACAGAATGAATTCCAATATCTTTTAGGAGATATTGGGAAGTCTTGACCTCAATAGTGTGACACTTCGTAGAAACAAATGTTATGATCCTTTTAGTTGTGAGGAGATAGATGAAACAAGGTTCAAATGTGTTTGCCAGAATCAGATGACTCATGGAGCAGGCTGCTAAACCTGAAGGAGCAGACTGCCAAAACCTTTAGAAGCAAGCTGCTGAACGTCTGAACTGAGTTGTTCTGCTTCAATGAACTATACTTTAACAGATTGAGAGTATTTAGAACATATCTTAACACATAAGTATGAAAGATTTAAACCTATGAAAATAGATCACTTTGATGATCAGAAAATAAGGAGTTGACTAAAAGTGAACTGGAAAGGTTCACTGGACGGTTTTAGTAACCAAATTGTTTTGCTGTGAAGTTGTGAAGGTGATTGAGAACTGTTTGTTGGGAGCAGAATATAAAAAGTGACCAGATATATCGTGGTTCGAATGTGAAGTAATCCTCCTATCCCAACCTAATTGGCAAGCTGCGGGCGGTGGTAAAAGACTCATGTAATTGGCCAGCTTGACTGGGAGCATTTGTTTAGCTAAACTGTACACTCGTGTAATTGGCTAGCTTGATTCAAAGAGACAGGATACAAAGAGTATTTTTGGAAATTGAAAAAATTAAATTACCTTCATGATTTAAACAAAATTGAAATTTGGTATAGACCGGGGTTGAAAATGACAAACTTCTATAAACTTCCAAAAGAGGGAATCCAATTCAATAAGCAAATATGATAACTTTCGAATTCAGAGAAATTACTCATTAAGATAAAGGCTACAACATCACACTAATTGTACTTTAAAATCTGATTACCATTGCAACAAAATCAAATTGTATCAAAAACTAAAAAACAATATTTAGATATCAAATGATACTTTCATTTGTAATCACTCAAAAATTGTAAACCAGTGCCAAAATTGTTGGGTTGCGCAGAGTAGTGACTAGTGAATAATATTCGGTAACTTCAGTTCTAGATAAAGAAGACGCAACCTTACAGCTTTCTTGGGAAATTTTTCCTGCAAAAAACAAGTGACCGAGTTTAAAACACTATTAATCTATTATTATTGTAACAAACGAAGGCAACTGTGGAAAGTTAAAAAGTCTTGGGTACTAACTTTTTGGACTTGTTTGAACTATTCATTGAATGGGGGGTTGTTTTAGGTTGCTTAGCAGGAGATGGAACTTTCTTAGTAACTGCACAGATGAACAAAAATAGTGTTAGCCACAAATAGCAAAAAAAAAAAAAAAAAATGAGATTGGCCTAAATTAGTACGAGAAGTACAGCCTTAGGGAATATAACAAGGAAATGCTTTCAAAATAAAATTAACAGCATTAGGAAATATAATGACAACTGAAGCACAAGGAAATACTCGTATGAGAATAATAATAGAGTAATACTCCATATATTATGATTAAAATTATAATAATTATTAATTTATTATTACTACGTATTATTTAGTGTGCTATGAAACATGTAAATCACAAACCTGTCTTTTGAGGTGGGGTTTGCTTTGCTTTCTTTTGAGGAGCTTTGGTTGCTGCGCCAGATTCAGCTTGCCTTTTCTTTGGCTGCTCCATGGGCTTGAAAACCAAATACATAATTTAATAATTAGTAGCAATTTCTAACATACTAATCCACTATAGAGATAATCCAGGACATTGTTCACATACTACCACTGGTGTCTCTTCATCTGAATCATCTTCATCAGATTCTGCTTCATCAGATGAGTCACCATCTTCCATACTTTCATCAGAATCCTATTACCAAATACCAAATCCAACATAAATGTACTGAGATCTTTATACAAAAAAATGGGAAAATGACTTCAAATAATACAAATTAATGGCTAAACTAAATAATCCCAGCTTGAGGAATTACAAATTTATAGTTGAACTGTTTCAGTTTATATAACAATGTGTATATATAAAATAATGAGCATGCTTTCAGCAAGAAATACTGCAAAAATTCTGGTATCGTAAAGGTGCAGCTGTACTTTAAAGTTTCAATTATTTTTAGGTCTTTGGCCAATTGTTTTTTCCATATGCTGAAATTCTTTGACTAACAAATTATCAATGTCCAATTATTTGTCATAAATTGAGATTACTTTGCTATCAAATTATCAATTATAATTTCAAAGGTTGGAATTACTTCTTGCCTATGCTGCATAATTGTTAGAGACATTATATTACAACCAGACATCAAAATTTATATATTCTTTGTTTGAATGTAAAACTAAATCAAATGTGGCCGTCCAATATGTTATAGTTGATCCTCTAAACTTGATATACCTCACTACCAAAATCATCATCATCAAAAGAGTCATCATCCTCATCAGGATCATGGTCTTCAACAGCTGGTTTTGATGGTTTCAATGCTGGTTTCTTAGAAGGCACTTGTGTAGCAGCTTTCTTTTTCTCCTCCTGCTTCAACCCATTAGCAGTCTTGGCTTCAGGTTTATAGGAGAAAACCAATGGTGATTAGTCTTAGAATTGAAAGCAGAAGTTTAAGCCGTTAAAAAAATTGTAAAACTCAACTAAGCAGAATTGTAACATAAAAAGATTTTTTTATGTCAGGCATAAGTATGTAACTTAGAATAATAAATAATAAATTTAATAACACAGACTCATGTAAATAGATCATGAACTCACCATTTTCCAGGGCATTTATGGGTAAATCCTCTTCAGACTCAGAGGTATCATCTGAAAAATAAAGCAAACTAGAGCATTTAGTTTCGGAAAATAGCATGGCAAACAATTTTAATACAAGTAGAGTGAGACTAACCAGAATCACTTTCCTCTTCACCAGTGGAAAAAATGTAATGTCAAGGATAAACAAAATGAGAATGTAATTGTTAGGCATATGCAGCCCTAGTGCCATCTCAAATGGATCATATAGAATTGCGGAATGTACGGCTTTGCAAAAAAGTGAAATAGCATTATGCGTTGTCTGGTAACTGTTATCATTATGGTTATAAATAAAATCAAAACTTACTAATGGATTCTGGTGATAAAAAAATATGAAGCACAATAGTTGTTGCATAAAATAATGACAATAGTTAAGGATATAATTCTGGTTCAGAGTATCCAAGAAAGTAGACACTTCCACTTTTCAAGTCATGAGAGAGTTCAAACTCTTTGTTAAGATACAAGTCACACATTATTTGTGGTCTTTCTCCAGCTGAGAGAGTTCCTATGACAAAGTTCTCCTTTCCCACCTTCATACGGAGCAAAACATTCTTGGCTCCATTGTCATCCTTCACCTCACCCAAAGATGCCTGTGAGAGTAACTTGAAAACTGAGAAACACAATTCAGTTATTAAACCACTCAATGTGAAAGCTTAGGCAGTTCCAACCTGGGAAATATGGATCACTTCATCAGCGTCAACTTTCAGGGACTGCCCTGGTTTGACTTCAACACCTGGACATTATGTTAAAATCAGTAAATACTTCATACAAACACAAGCTTGCTACTGTCCACGAATCACGTAGTTTCACACAATTGCAAATTTAGGTTCAAACATACGCTTAGAACAGCCTATGTATGCCCACAAATTTTAATAAATGAAAACCGTCAAATCAAAGGCCAGTAGCAGAAACTATATTAATAAGAAAAAACATGAGAATAGATCAACTGATAGGGGACGTATATAAAACAACGATTTAATTAGTGCAAAAATACTTGAAAATCGCAACCAATAATCGAACATATGCATTAGAACTAGCAGGAAAAAACATGGCAAATATGACTATCGGAGGCAAAGCATAGGAGAAACAAAGAGTAAACAGTGAAGGAGAAGTCAATTACCCCAAAACGCCATTGCAACCGAAAGAGGAGATAGAGCGTTGGTGGTGATGCTTGGAGACAGAGGGAAGACAGAGTAGCACGAAGAGAGGGAGGGGTTTAAGGAGGGCTTTATAGCACAAATTAATGATCTGCTAGGGTTTCTGTAAATGCGCACACAATTACGTAGTTTGGGAAGAATTAGAGTATGCACCCAATTACTTATTTGAATTTACTCTTCATCCAACTTATAAATTATTACTCCGTAGTATTTCTACTTTCAAACCCACATTTATATTCGTTTTTTCTTTCGAATTTAATTAGCTCTCCTAAAAAATTCACTAATATCACTTTAGAAAAAACGGTCTATAAAAATGTGACTTAATAATTTTTCATGACTCCTCCGCCAGGCAATACTACCTCTAAATTGCAGTCTGGTACCCTCAAGTAGGGTTTGGAATGTGCCGACTATTTTGTTCGGCGAGCTTTGTCTCCACCGCTCGACGGCCAATCGTCTCAGTTCGGCTGACGGTGCTGGTTTTAGGAGTGTGGATATTGGGATTTGCTTGGTCTGATAATTACTTGGATCAGTTTTCCGTTCGAAAGTCATATTTGGTTGGAACCAATTTGTGAATGTCCAGATTCGATGTGCATTAAGGGGATGTGGCATGGTAGGGCGACTTATTACCGACGTAGGTTGTTGGCACATGAACAGGGCAGCCTTGCTACAGAAGAGTGTTGAACAGATTGTTTGGATGTTCGGGTCACAATGGTGATGCCTAGCGACTGGAATTGTAATAATTCGGTCAATAGGGTAACAACAGCAAAAGGTGGGAATGGATTTACCAAGTTCAACACTTTAAGCTTTTTTATGAATCTTAAACATCTTGTTGGCAATATGCCCCTCGAGGATGGTGTGAAAGGAGTTTTTTCTCTGACGTTTTTGTGCGGCTTCTTTTCCTTTAATCAACGAATCGTCGACTTCATGGATGCGGAGGGGGGAGTAGCAGCTATGGAAGGATTCCCAGGGGAGCAGAAGCGTAGAAGAACGTGGGAGGAAAAGTAGCAAGAGGATGGCGAAGGGGACAACATGGCGTTGGACTTTTCAAAAAACAGAGAAGGGGCTGGTTTGGGACTCCAGACTCGCCGAGAGCCTTGAGGATGTTCCAGGATATGGAAGGACGGGGGATTTTTGTCATCTTTGTGAGGGTGCAGCTGAGTTTCCACTACTTTATTTTCTTTGTCATTTTTTGTTTTGATCAGACTGTCATTGTTGTTTTCTGTTATTTTTATTTCAGTCAGACTCGTGCATTAGGTTGGGGCGATGAGGGGTCTATTCTAACCACGTTAGGCTCATTTAGACCCATTATATGATCAGCGAGCCATATTGCTTTTTCCAGGGTGATTGCCTCCAAATCTGGTTCGAGAATCGGTGGTTAGAAGTGGTCCTTTTATCTTCTTTTTCCCTTGTTGAATGCTTTGATATCAATTTGAGCCGCCTTGTTAAAAAAAATGACTATAATTGTGTACAATATTTACATCGTAGAGACTGCATGTAGCCATTATGATGTAAATAAACACAATTGTAATCATTAAAAGTTAGTAAGCCACACGACCTTACTTGAACAAGATCTGTTCTATAGGATCGTACCTCTGAATCCTTGAATTATATGGAGATCGGAAACTAAACCTGGTTGATGACCGGAAAAAAAAAGTTAGTAGGTCACATTTCTGTCAATGACTTTTTCATTATTAATACTTTAGAAAAAATCTCGATAAGAAAAAATTATTTCAAAAAATAGAATCAAATGTTCTTATTGTTTGGGAACGAAAACATAGATGGAAAATTGATGGTCCCGGATGGAGGTAAAAGTCTAGAGGGGGGGGGGGGGGTAAATAGACTTTTAAAGCTTTTTCAATTTTGAAACACTTTTCCCTCTAGATAAGTTGATCTATAATCTTTTGGAAGATTAATAGATGCACAGCGGAAGTCTTTAACCTCTTTATACTTAGTGTGAGATAACTTTCTAGTTTAGATGATGTTTAGACTGGTTGTGAGAGGAAGTAGGCTTGGCAGTTGACTGGTGAGCAGGTAACTGCTTAGGCTACTGCTGCACAGGCAGTTTGCTGGCTGGCAGGCAACTGCTGAGTTGGCAGTTGGCTGGTAGGCAGGTTACTGCTGAGGCAACTGTTAAGAACATGATGACTCTTGGATGGCTTTTTGTTCTGGCTTGTTATGGAGTTTGGAAAGACACGTATGGATGGGCAGTGGGCTTAGCAGGAGGGTGAAGACCAGGGTACTGCTGAGACACCTTCTGAGTTTAAGACAACTTCTAGTGGAAAACACTCTCAAGGAGAGTGAGTTATTAAGCAGTAGGCTAAGCAGTAGAGTCGATGAAGACTACTGCTTAGGATGCTGCTGGCAAACTACAATCCTTTTTGTGAGAGGTGTTTGGTGTGTGCTCTATATGTAAGAAAGTAAACCAACACACAATGTATCCTGGTTCAGAGATGGTGTAATCCTCCTACATCCAGTCCCATTCTATTTCAAATGGATTTCCACTAAAGTATTCAGCCCAATACATTTAGTGCCAATCTAGCCTTGACAACTCTGGCCTAGATTGAAGGCGTTTCACGAGGAGTATAACACCACTCCAAGTTACTCAAACCTTAAGACTTTTCTCAATTGATCCAGTGGGGATCAAAAGGTACTCTATCTATCTAACTACACCTTAGGATCCGAACAACTGTTCTCCTAAGTGTTTACAACAACATGAATTGATTCACGAAGTTTCTGACTGCCAACTAAAATCTAAGCTCTATAAATGTTACAATGAATGATCTAGTCTAAGAGCTTAGTGAAGCATGAGTCAAAGCAGAGTGTTCAAGCACTTTTTCTTTTGCTGGATATTCGTAGTGTAATGACTGAACCACTTGCTTTGAACTCAATGACTTACTTTTGATCTCATGCTTCTGCCTATTTTTATAGGCATCTCCAGTAGATTAATCTCCTCCGTTGGTTAAGAGGATTTAATCCTTGACGTCCAAAGTACTGTACTTGCGTCTTCTTGTGTTGGAGCAGGATAAGGATTTTGTCTTTGAAGGCCACTTGCTTTGTACGAAGATAACACCCATACCTTAGGCCTTCTTATCGCTGCATGCCTATTCTGAAACTCTTCACTATTCACCTATTCTGATGTCTTCTCTGCTCTTGCATTCTGAGTGTTTTGGCCTTGTCTTGTAACTATACTTTGAGAAGCTGAGTGCGTGAACCTGCTTGATTTGTGTAGTGAAGTAGTAAAATGTGTGACTTAGAATATTTTGTATCAAATAACTTTTGTACTGGTAGGATCTTTTAAATATCCTATTAAGGTAATAAAATTACCTTATTTGCATTTTGTTCTTTTCAGTACAATTTATTTGGTACAAATTTCACAGTAAAATTTGTCACTTATTTTTGCTAATCACTTTTTAAAGTGACATGATTAAACTTGTGTACCGAATTAAAACTATACTGGTTGGATCTAAATATCCATGTAAGGTAAAAATAATTTTACCTTATTACATTTTATAGTTCCAGTATGTTTAATCTGATACATAGTTTTTACATTTGTTGTGTCACTTTTGGATAACTTGTGTAGTTTAGCAGGTATTGTGTACAACTTAACTGGTAGGATAACAAATCCTATTAAGGTAAAAGTTATTACCTTATTGCATTTTGTGTTCCAGTTAGTTGTTCACATTTCTTTGTTTATTAAACAAATAGATTTAACTGGTTGGATTTATATGATATCCTTTTAAGGCAATACAATATTGCCTTATTGCATTTTATGGTTTTCCAGTCATATTTATTTGTTAACTATATAAGAAGGAGCAAGACACATCTAGATAATGTTCTTAGTACTAGTCAACTGCAAGATGCTACAACAGAGGATAACAAAGACTACTACATTCATCAAAATAATGCTACACTAGAGGGGGGATAACAAAGGCTTTTGGCATCATCAAAACAGTTCATCAAAATATAGGGTCTAACAATTTCCCCCTTTTGTGATGATGCCAAAAGAAGAGTTCTAGACACTAAAACTCTCTTTCCCCCCCTTTTGGTAGCATCAACCTTCTACTCTTGAAGCTGTCTCCATGGAAGAGTCTTCTTTTCTTCACAGCATTGATTTTAGCCAGCTTTTCTTTGAAGACTCTATTGATGAGGTCCTCAGAGAGGGCGTCACCAATAGAGTGTGTCTGGAGCCAGCTAAGTGCAAACTCTTCCTCAGTTTTGATGGTCTGTGGAGCCATCAGTAGTATGTTAATTGGAGCGAGTCTCCATGCTCTCCAGTTTATGACTCTCTGTTTTTCTGAGTAGAGAGATTCCTTTCTATGACCATGAAGTAGGAATGTTTCAAGATTACTCATGAAATCATTCCTTAACTGGATTGTGGGATCGTTTTGTGTAGGAGGAGCTAAGGAGAGGTCGAGATTGAGTCTCTGGTTTGACATTTTGAGGAAGGCTGAGAGTGTTTGTTCGAGGAAGAAGATGAGTGTTGATTTAGAGAATAGACCAGTCTATTTATACCCACATGCATTGTTAAGTATTCCTTGATGAGAGTTTCGAAGCTTATTAATGAGATTGCGGCTTTGTTCTTTTCTAGATTACAGATGTAACATAGATTGAAGAGAAGATTTTGATTAGGTGAACTCACCGTTTTTGAAGCAGCAATTAATGTTCAGCTTGATCTCCAAGTGTCATGTTTGAACGTTGCATGTAGACATAAATTCCTTTTGCTTTTGGTAGAGTGACATCAGACATTTGTGTTGTATCAATGTACTATTGATTATGAACACGTATTTGATAGTTCAGATGAATACCTGTACCACTTCTTTATGTAAAAGGATGCAACTTTCATTTTATGTTGCCAGAGTGATAGTCTTGTTTTGTGGTCCTTGTTGGAACTCTTATTTTTCTGATCCTTTTGTAGAATGATAAGCTTTCCCCCTTAGATGATGCTCCTTAGAAATTTCCTTTTGTGATGGAATTTTCTAATTTTAATTCCCCCTCACTTGATACTTGAGATTTCATCAAGATGACTGACTCAGTTAGATGCATCAAGTGCGAGCTTCTCAAAGTTCTCTCTAGCCTTCTGCTGCGGAAGCAGTCTTTGGTTGAGTGCTCTGCTGAGACCTCTGCTGAGACATCTGCCTTTGACA